ACTTTGCTTCCTCTCCCTGGGCTCGCGTGTTCCAGAAGGCACACGCATCCAGATCTCAGTCTGAGAAAGGGGAAAATTTGTTCTATTTAAAGGGATGTGTAATTAACAAAACAGAAACAAAATAACCATAATTTAGATCTTCAAAAAAGATCATGGCAGAGGCTGGTCCCATTAACGTGTGGAGTTTGATGCAGTGCTGGCGGTTTGAGCCCTTTAGGTGCCTCCTGTTCTCGTGTTTAAAAAGCTCTTCTACCGCAAAGGCAGTCTGTGGACAAGTCTGCCGGGCAGCCGCGGTGCGGGCGCTCTCCCACCTGGAGGCACGTCAGCCAGGTGTGAGAAACCAGAGTCCACAGCGCCCTCCCGGAGCACGTGTGTCCAGAGGTGGCATCGGGGGGGCACGGCGTTCCTGGGGCAGCTGGGGGAGGACGCTCTGCGCCTTTGAGCCTGTCGGGCCACCTGGGCCATCTCGGCTCCCACTTCTCCAGATGGAGCTATGCACAGGCTGCGGGCTTGGCGCTGACTTGCACGGCTTGTGAGTGACTTGGGGTATCTTGGGGTGTCAGAGAGGCAGGAGTCTGGGGGACAGTGTCGGGTGTGCACTCCTCGCCATCTCACATCCAGGCCTGGCCGCGAGAAAGATGTAAAAAAGCAGCCCTTGGTCTTAATAATTTGTTGTAGTAATTTAATAGTTTTTAAATAACATATCCTATTTGAAGACGTCTAGAGTGTTGCTTCGACGTGTGATCACTGTGAAAATATTAGTGAGATGCATCATGTTCTTTTCCTGTTAAGTCTGTAAAATCAGGCGTGGATTTTGAACTGCAGAACCTCCATGGCCATGGGAGGCAAGGGCAGCCATGTGGGGCCATGTCGGGCCATGCCAGCGTGGGTGGTGTGGTTCAGCCCCTCCACTTACCAGAGGAACCGAGACCCAGAGGCCTTTGCAGCTCAGCAGGGGTCACCTGGCAAAGCGGGTGCTAAAACCCAGCCTCTGATTTCCTTCAGGCCCAAGGGGCAGAGCTCCCCCCAGCCCTGGGTGGTGTGGGTCTTTGAGGGCTAGCATGCTCCAGGGCCTTGGTTGGCTCAGGTTTGCGGAGACCCGTCCCCTTGGGTCTCGGGGACATGCTGATCTGCGGGCCTTAAGCCTTTGTCAGAGCATCTGGCCCACTGGTGAGGACCCAAGCAGCCCCCTGCTCTTTTCCTGGGCCTCTGGGCACATGGGACACTGGGCGTGTAAGGGTCCTCAGGCAGGGCATCTGCAGTTGGGGTCTGCTGGTCATGGACCCCCTTGCCGATCTGATATCCCCAGCTCTGGGCTCTTTTGCCAGAAAACGGAAACCCCGGGGCTCAAGGAGCTGAACGGCCAGCCCTCCCACCATATGCCTGTGGGCAAGATGGGACAGTGGCCCCAGCCCTGAGTCTTGCTCAGGCCTCTCGGGTTTAAATGAAATTTTAAGGGTTCTCCAATCCACTGAACTGCTGCCGTGGCCCCCCACCACGTCCACGGCGCCCCCCCCGCCACGCCCGCGTCCCCGGAGATTGAGGCTGGCTGAGGCTTCATCCGCTGAGCGGTGGCGGCGTTCCTGTTTTGTGCCTGGTGCGGGGTCCATCCCACCAGGGAGGGGACACGGGCCTGGTCAGCAGGTAGCCAGTCACCGGATGCGACGTGGGTGTTAGATTTTTGCCGTCCTTTCCTGAGCATCACAGCCCGTGGGGTTCCTTTGTTGTCTCCTGGGAATAATCGTTCCCAGCAGTGACAGCTGAGGGCCAAGAATTACGCTCTCATTCATGAGCTGCAGGGACCTGAAGGGGCAGCGTCGGGTTCTTGAGAAACGTGGGAACGCCCCCGCCGCGGCCATATCAGACGAGGGAAAGCAGAGCACTCGTTTGTTCTTGGACGCCCCTCCCCGCTCTGAGTCACTGCTTGCTTCGGAGAGGAGACATATGTTCTGATCACTTTTGTCTTCTCAGATTACAGGGCTGTTCAGCCCAGGGTGACTAAGTGGGAGCATTCTGGGGTCTTAAATGCTCTCCGCCGGGTGTTTCTATAGCGCGGTCACCATAGCACCGCTGAGCCAGGAGCAGGAAAGGCAGCGGAGGGTGGGAGTGAGGAGCCGGCCTCAGCGCCCGCCCGCCCGCCCGCCTACGGCAGGGACAGGCTCGGGGCCGTTTCCAGCAGCTCAGTCATGGGAGGTGCAGGGCCAGGCGGTGTTCTGTCCCCTGCACTTTTCCAGAGAGCTCCAGCCCTCCTCCACGTTTGGGGTGTGGGTGTCCTTGCCCACAGAGCAAGCCGGCGTGGCCCGGGCCCTGTGGGTGGGGCGTCCTCCACTCTCCGTCCCCCTCGAGGAGTGAAGCTTCTCAGGTGGTCCACGTTTCCAGGATCTGCCCAGTGAAGCTGTGGTCTCTCTCCACAAGGAGCCACATCCAGGAAAAGGAGGTCGGGAAAGCCAGCTGTCATTCCTCCGCAGAAGTGGCAGCCCCGTGTCCCAGCTGGTGATGGCAGTGCCCAGGCTGGGGTGCTCAGGACAGCTGGATGGCCCAGGGGCCCGTGGTGGAAGCTGTCCGCTGCCCCTGGTCCTCACGCCCCACCCAGGGCTGGCTGCCCCGGGGCGTAGCTCAGAAGGCTCTCCCGCCAGCTCCCCAGGAGGCGTGGTCCCCGGGGGGTCGGGGTGCCCCCCAGCTCCTGCCAGGGCCCTGCTCTCCACCTCCGTCCCGTTCCCCCCCGAGACCTGCACTGCTCCCAGCCGTTCATGGAGCTTGTTTGAATAAATGGAAATCTTAAAAATAAAACACCACTCCCTCCCCCGGCACGGGAGGCTGGCAGACCCTGCTAATGAGGCCAGTGCCCTGCACCACACGGGTCCAGCGCTGCTTTCTCTCCACTCCTGGGAGCGGGGAGCGCTGCCGCGAAAGACATACCACAGCCTAAAAACCCAGAAACCACGTGCAGGTCAGACAGCGGGGCCGGCTTGGGGGCTGTGCGTGCTCAGGGTGAGCAGGCCCAGGGGGCCCCGCGTCCTGGTTTCCGCCCTGTCCTCTGCTAACCGTTCACAGTGGCCCTTCTCCTTCAGAGTCCCCACTCGGTGACAGTTGGTGTGGAGGCCAGCACTCTGGGTGAACTCGCTGCATGAGGCCACGGTCCCATCTCTGTGTGTTAGCTCTTGCCCGGGCTTGCGGTCTCCGCATGCCTGGCCCACCCCCAGCCCACCACCCTCCCGGGCCTGGCCACTGCCGAGTGGGTGGGGATGCTGGAGCAGCCCCCAGGGACAGGGGGACGTGGTGACACAAGGAGAGGGTGGATTGGGAGTCTCCCTGGGGGGTAAACCCTGATCTTCTGGAACCTTGCAGGGGCTTCTCTTCAGGGGGCTCTCGGGCACCGAGGTAAGCCGAGGAAGGCGCCCTTGCTGTGGCCCACGTGTCCCTGACAGGCCCCTGGGGAAAGGCAGGATGGCCATGGATCAGAGCGCGTCAGCACTGGGGCCCCGCGGGTGCGCGTGCCCCTTCCAGGCCCTTCCATCCAGAGGGTGTTCTGTCCTGGGCCTCTGTGCTCTGCTGTCCTCCCAGGCGCCTCGCGGGGCTTGTGGGAGGGGCTGTGGTTTGAGCGGCCCCCCACTGCTGGATTCCTCCCCACGAAGCTCAGCCTTGCCCACTATGCCCTGCCCGGCTCCAGGCTTGCTCGCCCACTTCCCAGAGGAGCTGTAGGGCGGAGGAACTGTGCGGGGCGGGGGAGGCAGGGCTGGGGGAGCCGAGAGCCCGCCAGGGGGGTCTCTTACCTGTGCCCAGGCCTCTCCCAGGCCGGCGGGGCTTGCTTCCCAAGAGCCATCCTGGGTCCCCTCAGGCGCACCGGCGGCGGCGGAGCCCAGGGCCTGCTCCTTGAGGCTGTGGCCTCGGTGCGGCTGCCGGCAATGGACAGGCTATTTGGAACCCCTTTTAAGCTGCCCTCTCCAAGGGGGCAGTGGAGCTCAGGGTGGTGAGGTGGGTGGTGTGCGGAGCAGAGGGAGGGGGGCCCTGAGTTTTGGTGGCAGGCTGGGCAGGCCTGGCCTTGGGGTAGTGTGGCTACTTCACGCTGGCTGAGCCCGTACGCTGGTGGCCAGTTGGGGACAAGCCACACCCACAGGCTGGTCCTCGGCCCTCCAGCTGAGCGCTGCCGGGCAGGGAGGCGGCAGGAACAGCCTGTTCTGCGCGCCTCCTCCTGGCGCCCACCTCCACTCAGCACCGCCCACCCACGCTGAGTCAGAGCCGGTGGGGGAGGCGCCCCTCGGGTCAGGGAAGACCCCAAGGCCACAAAGACCAGCCTCAGCAGCAGTGCCTCCCCGTGTGGGCAGTGGCCCCGGGGTGCGGAGGGAAGCAGCCAGAAGGGACTCCCTTCAGGAACGGCCAGGACCCCGCAGACCCCATCACACACACACTGACGGGGCTCTGCAGACCCCAGCGCCGTGTGTCTGGGGTGCTCCTGCCTCCCCGTGATGGCTGCCTACAGTCTTGAGGGTGCTTTGTTACCAAAAGTTTCCAGCCTGCAAAATCAGAATGTTCCAGCGTGCCCCAGCATCAAGCAGTGTCTCCTGCATTCTGTGCCCACCCCCGCAGGATTTGGGTGTGAATTAGTCATTCTCAAACACATCGTGCCGGGCGAGCTTTCCTGGTCCACCAGCAGGGTGGTTTCAGATGCCTGGAATCAGGATCCACGGGAGGTGCCATGATGCCACCAGGCCTCATGATCTGCCAGCATGGTCCACACGTGTGTGGCTGCTGGGGCACAGAGGGGGCAGGGGTCGGGGGACACGAGCTCCCGGGGGGACAGAGGCCCAGTGGGCCGTGGAGTTGCCCTGCTGTCACTCTGCCCGTGCCCTGTTGGCCCAAGCAGGTCGTCGCCAGGCCCTACCTGTGGGCCGGCCGGCCGTGCGCTCCGCCCCTCTTGGGGTTGCCCAGAGCTGGGAGTGATCCTGTGTTGCCCTGTCAGCAGCTCATGTGTGTCCCCCACGCTCTCTCCGCCCCCCCAGTACATCGACGCGATCAGCAACAAGCAGGGTGAGCTGGAGAACTACGTGTCGGACGGCTACAAGACAGCCCTGACGGAGGAGAGGAGAAGGTTCTGCTTCCTGGTGGAGAAGCAGTGCGCCGTGGCCAAGAACTCCGCCGCCTACCACTCCAAGGTGAGGTCTGCTGGCCGCGAGCCCGCGTGGGCAGCAGTGGGCCATGTCTGGTGGCCGTCGGGGGCGTGTCCACTGTTGAGCTGTGTTGAAAGGAACACCGTGCGTTTCAGATGCCCCTGGGGACAGCGTTCTAGTAGGAGAGTCACCGATCAGACGCCGCAGATGTCTGGAGACTGGTTAGAAATTGCTAGTGCTGTTTTGAGGACAGTGGCAGGAGGCTGGCTCCTCGGGGAGGGCTGCAGTGCCAGGGAGCCCCTCGTAGAGGATCCCGAGGAGCCCCTGTTCAGAGCCCATAGTCGAGAGCTGCGGAGGGAGCAGATCTGTCTGCTGGAACATTCCAGAACATTTCAAGAGCTCAGCAGATGAAGCTAGGCAGCTGAGTTCACATCCTTTTTCCACAAAGGGGTCTGCGGATCAGCGGGGTAAATGCACGTTCACACACGTGCGCTTGTTAGGAGACGTGTTCTGCGGTCCCCACGGTCTGGGCTGCGTAGGAGAGAGACGCCCTTCCTCCGCAGAGAGGCTCTGCCTCCCGGGCCTGCCCGAGGGCCCGCTTCCACGTGCGAGGCAAGGACAGGGAAGGACCTGCGTCCCCTGTGGGAGCTGGGAAGGCTCCCTGGGGCAGCCGCCCGGGAGCTGCCGTGGAGGCAGCTCATGGAAGCAGCTGTTAGCTGCCTAGCAGGGGCGGCTGCACGGCCCACACAGTTCCCGGCAGCGCTGCGGTGGGTGGCGGCGCCCTCTGGCGGCAGCCAGGCCCCACGGCAGGTCAGGGAGGGTGCGGGCTCCTTGGTGTGGCAGGGGGGACAGAGAGCAGAAAAGCCATTGTCACTGTGCAAGAGGTGACAGCTGACCTCCCAGGGAGCTGGACGCAGCCCTCCCAAGTGGATCTAGAGAGGCCCAGGGGCCGGGGCACCAGGGCAGGAGCCCCCCAGGCTCTTCCCTGCAGCAGGCCACCAGGCATCTCCCTGGCAGGTGGGTCCTAGCCCCACAGACACGTTTCATCACCAGGTGGGAGCCCTGGGTTGGCCGGTCATACCAGCTGTGGAGCCCTTCCGAGAGCCACACCCTGACCCTGGGGTTGCCCCCGTTTGGTGCCGGGTCCCTGTGGCCTTGTCACCACCACCCAGACCTATCGACCAGTTATCTCAGCCACGGTCCAGGTTAACACTTTGGGTTTGGGCCATAGCACGCAGAAGCAGCGCCAGATGTGTGGAGGAACAGATACGGCTGTGTTCCAGTCAAACTTTATTTACAAAACAGGCGGCCAGCGCCTGGGCCACGGTTTGCTGGCCCCTGGTGTCAACCAGCACGCAGTGGAGGGTGTGCTGCTCACAGGGCCTTTTTCCAGCTTCTTCCACGTTTCCCACACAGATGCCCCCTCCGTGCCCAGACACAGGTCAGAGTGGGGAGAGGCAGTGAGGGCCGGACAGCCCCTTCGGAGGTCTCGGGACAGTGATTGCCCCGAGCTAGGGAGCACTCCACCCAGGGGAGTTCCAGGCTCTGCAGTGGCACACGGGTGACACCATCTGCTACAGGTCAGGTAGACACTTTGGCCAAACAGACAGGAGGGAGGGCACAGCTGCCCCCAAACCCTGGACAGGCCCATGCAGTGGGCACCAGACCCCAGCTGGGCTGCAGGGAACCTCAGGCTGGCACCCCACTCGGCTGTCCCTCACTCTGGGATTCCACGCCAGACCCGTGGCTTCATCATCTTTTGTTAGGCGCTGTGCTCGTCCAGCACTGGGCACACCCCGGTGCGCACCGGAGGGACAGCTGGGCTCTCGGACCCCTGGGTTGGGGACAGGGACAGTTAGCACCTTGCATCTACCAGGTACCACCTGATGGGGTCTTGCCTTCCTGCATCCTCCTGCAGCCTGGCTTGACCACGGCTCGGGACCCCAGGATGACGCTCTCTCCAGGACCTCATGGTTGCCCATGGAGCATCTGTCCCTTTTTCCTTCTTTGGTGGCCCCTGCCCGGGTTGGACCTTCGTTTTTGTCTCAGCCCTGGTGGCCCCATGACTGAATGGCTTATGGCAATAGCCTGCCTCTTTCCCAGGTCAGGGGTCAGGGACCCCCAGGTCCCCATCTGGCTGAGTCACCACCTGCTGTGGAGCAGCCGTGAGCCTTAGGCAGGTGTGCCCCTCCTGAGTGGGGGAGTGTCTCCGGGGCCAGGCCCTTGTGGCCCTGCGGGGATGGCCCCCTGCCGCGTGCCCAGCCCTGACCCTGCCCTGTCCTGCTTCCTCTGCTTTAGGGCAAGGAGCTGCTAGCACAGAAGTTGCCACTGTGGCAACAGGCCTGCGCCGACCCCAACAAGATCCCAGACCGCGCGGTGCAGCTGATGCAGCAGATGGCCGGGAGCAACGGCTCCGTCCTCCCCAGCGCCCTGTCGGCCTCCAAGTCCAGCCTGGTCATCTCAGACCCCATCCCGGGGGCCAAGCCCCTGCCGGTGCCCCCTGAGCTGGCCCCGTTTGTGGGGGTGAGTCCGTGGCCTCCAGCAAGCTTTATGGGTGTGGAAGGTTGGCCCCCACCCTTGCACTGGGGTAGCCGGGGTGAGAGGTTCCCACGCCGGCCTCGCCTGACCAGGCCCTCCCACGACGCCACCCCCCCCCACCCCCCGCCTCTTCTCCACAGCGGCTGTCTGCCCAGGAGAGCACGCCCGTCATGAATGGCGTCTCGGGCCCAGATGGTGAGGACTACAGCCCCTGGGCCGACCGCAAGGCCGCCCAGCCCAAGACCTCGTCTCCTCCACAGTCCCAGAGCAAGCTGAGCGACTCCTACTCCAACACGCTCCCCGTGCGCAAGAGCGTGGCTCCGAAGAACAGCTACGCGGCCAGTAAGGGCTCGGACGTGCCCCCAGCTGTCATGTCATACCCGAGGGGAGGTCGGGGAGGCCTCCCTCAGAGCCCCGAGCGTGTGCGTGCCCTGGCGCGGCCCCCTTGGGCCCCCAGTGAGATCTCTGTCCTGGACCCTCGGGCTTTGCCTGGCTCCCCTCAAGTCGAACACGATAGGGCCGGGCTGTGCCAGGACATCTGGGCTCAGCCTGTGATGGGAGCGCGCGGGCGGTGCTTGGCAGGGCTGTAGGGGACAGTGGGACAGCCCCCCTCCCCCGGCCCGGCTCCCTTGGCTCTGCCATCCCGTCCCCTGAACGGCACCCCACTCCTTCCCCCGGCTGGTGAGGGTCTGCTGATGAGCACATGGGATAGTCGAGGTCCAGGCCCAGAATGCCTCACAGCTGGTGAGCGGTAGGTCTGCAGCTGGATTCGCCTCTGCAGCCTCTGGGTCCTCCCCAAATGAGCATCCCCCTCCAGGCCCACCTAGGGCCTTCTAGCAACTTCCCGTCAGGGGGCTGAGCCAACAGGAGGACGAGCACATCCCCTCACTCCTTCCCTGTCGTCCCGGCAGCTGAGAACAAGACCCTGCCGCGCTCCAGCTCCATGGCGGCCGGCCTGGAGCGCAACGGCCGCATGCGGGTGAAAGCTATCTTCTCTCACGCGGCCGGGGACAACAGCACCCTGCTGAGCTTCAAGGAGGGGGACCTCATCACGCTGCTGGTGCCTGAGGCCCGCGACGGCTGGCACTACGGAGAGAGCGAGAAGACCAAAATGTAAGCGTCCGCAGGCCGCCCCCTCCCAGCCAGCTGTCGGCCTGGGCCCAGATGGCCTGCCTCCTGACCCTGCGCCCTCAGACGTCCTGGCGGCTCGGGGTCCTTTCCAGACTGACTATCCCGCCGTGGGTTTTCAGTCGTCAAATCGCGGCAGCACAGACCGTCTCTCACCAGCCCGTCACCCTCACCGCCCGTGTCACCCACTTGGCCCAGAGCCCGGCACGCACACGCCGCGGCCCGTCTGGCACCTTCCCTGCTGTCGGGTGTGCAGCTTCCCCCTTGGCAGAGGCCAGCCGTCCGCCCCAGGCCTTCTGCTGCCCAGTCTCCTCTGATCAGCCTGTGTGCTGGGGCATCGGGTCACAGGACCTGTGTCTTCATGGCTTAATTCAACCCCCGTGGCCCCGAGGCTCCGCCAGGCTCTCGTTCTCGCGCCACCGCGGGGCTGCCCTGGTCAGGAGCCGCCCCTTCCCCCGAGCATCACTGTCGTCTGGAGGTGGCTGGTGGCGAGATGGAGACTCGCGGCTCCTGCCCATCACAGCCAGGGACAGAGGGGCTGGATGCAGCTTGGCTCCTGCCCCCGGGCGGCCGCCATGTGGGGAGGGGGTGACAAGGAGCGGGGAGCTGGCTATAGGACACGTCCTTCCCAAACGGTGCCCCCGCCTGCCCTCCAGACCGCTACTCTGCGTTGTCGGTGCGGCCGGGAACCGGCCCTGGCCGCCTCGGTCATGGGAGCTCTGCCGGTGGTGCCCAGCCTCCCGTCCGGGGCCCGTTGCATGCCCGGGGTGCAGGGTGGGTTCTGCCGTTTCTCCGAGCACCTGCTTGTGTTCACCGGACAGACGGCTGCAGCCAGGCTGCGGAGCTGGGGGCACCTGGCCCTGGCACCCTCTTCACCTGTGTTCTCTCCTCCAGGCGGGGCTGGTTTCCCTTCTCCTACACCCGGGTTCTGGACAGCGATGGCAGTGACAGGTTGCACATGAGGTGAGCGTGCTGACCCGGGCTGCTGGCCCTTTGCTCTGGGGAGGTTGCCACGAGAACAGGGTGCTGTGGGTCTGTGAGCCGCCCCCGCTTTCTGCTCAAAGGGCTTGGCCGGGCAGTGCTGCCCCCACACCCAGCAGGCTGCGTGTTGAGGCTCCTGGGGGGTGTGGGTGCAGGCCACTTTGTGAGGAAGGGTCACCGGGTGCTCTGTGGGGTGGGGCTTCCCTTGTCCCCCACTGGGCCTGGGAGCACACCCTGCTGTCGCCTCCCTTGGGCAGGCTGTGCAGGGCCCCAGTAGGGGCTGAGCGGTGCCGGGAGGACTGGGGTTGGGGTGGGGTGCACGGGCTTTAGGAATTTCCTGCCGCCACACCTTCAGGCCTGGTTTCACTGGCTCAGTGAGGCTGCAGCCCCTCATTAGGCCTTCTTGAAGGGTCCGAGGGAGGTGTGGGGAAGGTGGAGGGTTGGATGGGGGCCGGGGTTGAGCTGGCCCCTAAGCCCCTGCCCCCACAGCCTGCAGCAGGGGAAAAGCAGCAGCACAGGGAACCTGCTGGACAAGGAAGACCTAGCCCTCCCGCCCCCCGACTACGGCACAGCCTCCCGCGCCTTCCCTGCCCAGGCAGCCGGCACCTTCAAGCAGAGGCCCTACAGTGTGGCCGTACCTGCCTTCTCCCAGGTGAGTGCCATGGAAGGAGCCCCAGAAGCGGCTCTCCTGAAGGTCAGGGTGGTCCCGCTGCCTGGCCTTCCCTCCGGCTGGGGCATCGGTGGCCTTCAGGCCTCCCACCTCGCGGGGAGCCTGGGCATCGGGGAGGACTTCGTGTCTGGGAGCCCCCTCCCTGAGGCTGTTGGGCTCTGGCAGTCACGGTCCGAGCATGGACATGAGCACTTGCATTCGAGGTCTGGGATGTGGCCAGAGGCTTCTTGTTAGTGTGTCTCTGGGCGTCGGGAGGCAGGGCTAGGCACTCATGCCCAGGTCACCCAGTACCAAGGGGCCAGAGGCAGGAGGTCAAGGCCTGGGTCCCACGTGTGGGTCCCCAGCAGAGCCCCTGGAGCGTATGATGGTGGTTTTGAAGTCTAGGTGGGGTCAGGGTGTGAGTGTGGACGGTACGGTTCTGAGTGGGAAGGTTCATAGGCTGTAGGAGCCCAAGGCTTCTGGAACGTTTGTCTGCTGTGGCTGTGTTGGGAGTAGGGGCCAACAGCTTTGCTCTCGGTTGCAGTCTTCAGGACTGAGCCCCGACTTGAGGGTCAGCCCCCTAGCCCCCGGAAGGGGCCAGAAGGGGAGTTTCTCTAAGATGTGGGCAGCAGGGGTGATCACCTAGGTCTCAGCCTGCCCGGGGCTGTGGTGAATGGTGGTATAGGTGGGTGAGGTCCAGGGAAGGCCCCACTCAGCACCGTCCTGAGCAGCCTTGCCCCCACCCTTCCTGTGAGGTGGGCGTAACACACGAGTGAGGTCCTGTGCGCGAGGGAGCTGTCTTCCAGGAGCTTGCAGTCGGGCAGAGTGAACACGAAGGTTGAGACAAATATATGGTGAGAAGGACCAGACTGGGGAGGTGTAGCTAAGGCCCTGGGATGGAACCTTCCAGAGAAGGTGAGGCTGGTGCTGGTGCTCAGGGCAGCAACAGGGGGGAGGCCAATCCAGCTTGGGAGAGGCGTGGCACCTCGGGGTCATGGGTCCAGCCTGCTGGGCCGGAGACGCTCCAGCCCCGTCCACCCCCACCAGGACACAGCTGGCTGAGCCTAGGCTGGCCTGGCCACTGCACACTGCTCCCACTTCCCAGCGTCCAGGTTTGGTTTTGGTGTGGAGACAGCTGAGGAGGCTGTCCCCAACGGCCCTTGATGGCCCTAGGCCAGGCCGGCAGAGCTGTGGTGGCGTCTACAGCCCCTCCCTCAGCCCCACAGCTGGGGCACTGTCGCTGGTGTCTCGGGGTGCAGGGGCACACTCTGCCCAGGGACTGGCCCAGGCTGGCTTCCCTGCCTGGCCCTCACCCCCTCCCTGCAAGTGTCACTGGTTCCCAGGGAGGCCCCCCTACCTGCTCCAAGACTTGCCAGGTAATCCCAAGCTCACCTGCCTTAGTGCTCTTATCAGGTAACCCGCAGGTGACCACAGGCCCCTGACCGCTCACCACGGGACGTGTGTGTGGAGGGGGTCATCAGGGGATGTGTCTTGCTTGTGCCCGTGAGTGTGAGCTCATACCATCCGTGGTCTGCTGCTGGCCAGATGAGGAGATGCCCCCATGCATTTGGGATGTCACTGCTGTGCACGGGGCAGAGGCCCTCCACACCCTCGGCTGCAGGCAGTACCGCACACACGCTCTGGGGTCAAGGGCGGTGCGCCTAGTCTCCTCTCGTCCCGCAGACCCCACCTGGCCCCCAGGACCCCCAGCCTAACCTGGGTTGCCTTTCCTCCCCAGGGTCTAGAGGACTACGGAGCGCGGGCTGTGAGCAGGTAAGGGGCTTTCACACTTGTCCTTGGGAGTTGTGGGTGGGTGGGGCCGGCCCCTCACAGACCCTCCGAGGCCTGCTCCGTGGGGGCCTGGCTGGAGACTGTGGAGGCCCCACTCCGGGTCAGGGCAGGCGGGGCCGAGTGCCTGTTCTCCCTACCCCTCACTTGTCTGAGTGCTGGGGCTGCTAGGGCAGGAGCCCACGATCCCAGGGTACTGCGAGCCACCTTCATGCTGTGACCCTGGGTGGGTGGGAGTGCAGCCTGGTCCTGTGCCTGCCGCAGCTGCTGGGACTTCCGGTCCAGCCTCAGCCCGGTGCTTTCCCTGCTCTTCCGTCCTGGTGGCCCTCGTCCCGGCTCGGGGTGGGGTGGTGGGGGGAGCTGCTTCCGTCCCTCCTCCGGGGCCAGGCAGCCAGCTGACCCGGAGCTGCTGCAGGAGAGGCGTACGGCCCTGCAGCGTCCTATGCTTTGTCCCACAGCGGCAGCGGCACGCTGGTGTCCACGGTGTGAGGGCGCTGACCACGGGCAGCCGCTGCTCGGAAGAGCCCCCTCCCCCACCTGTCTGGCCTCCATCGGTTCCCTCCTCCGCTCTTGTTGGTTTGTTCTCGGGTTATTTTTCTTTCTCGCCTGCCCTGTCCCGCCTTTTGGTTGGTGACCCCAGACTCTGAGATCCCCCAGGGTCCATGGTGCTGCCCCATCTCTGCTCCCCATTGTTTACACGCCCCCAACCCCATGTGTCCGCCAGGCGGGAGCTGCTGGCCAGGCAGTGCGGGCCAGGCAGCCTCACGTCTGCTCCGCGGCTGCCATGTTCACGACGCACTGTCCCTTTTTGAAGGCTCATCGCGAGCCAGGCCTAAAGTTTGAAGAAAAAGAAAAATCTTAAAAACAAAAAAAAAAAAAAAAGGAAAAAAAAAAAAAAAAAAAAAAAAAAAAAAAAAGAAAAAAAAAAAAAAAAAAAAAAAGAAAAGAAAAACAG